CAGTTTGCATTTACAAAAAAAAAGTAGCTGCAAATTGGAAAAAAATGAATTTTAAACAAAAATATTTCTTTTATAATATAAGCAAATGAACCAAAACGTAAAATTAAAAAAAAAAATTAATTAACAATTAAAACAGAGAGGAAATTCTTGAACAAAAAAAGTTTGAATTTGTGACTAATATGCACGTAATATATTGTTAATAACTAATCGTTCTGTTTTAATCAATGCAGATAGATCATTTAACGCCCTTTGATGTGAGAGAACCGAAGTTCCCCACAGAGAATTGGTGTAAGGTGGACAAGGGTCCTGCGCAGTGTGTACCTTTGTTTGGATATATTTGTGATAGACATATATGTGTAAGTATATATTGTTTATATTCTTACAGATTGATTTCTATAAAAGTTTCGATTTTCAAGACCGGCTTTTAAATACATAGCGTAGCCCTTTTGTTTTATTACGGCTTGTAATTAAAATCGCCTGTACCTCATAACATACATACATATTAAGGAAAGTTTGGTAATTCCGCATAGTGCATCTTTGTTTCATGGCGGGCAGTCATAATATTTTATTTGCTTCTATTATAGAATGTTATTCGCTTTTATTTAATAATGACAATATATATTTAATTTATTTAATAATGATACCAATAAATTTGTTGTTTTAATGTATATTTATTACGTATGTTTGCCGATTATTTTTCCCAAAATTAGTTAAATTATAACCGTGACGACTTAAGCAAAGCTTAACAATTCTTCTCATGAAGTTGGAAAAAAATGTTTAGACCCCAAAAATATACACAACACACTGTCAACAATCTTGCATTTGAAGCCTTTTCTACTCATTACATTAAATGGTCGTTTTAATCATAATCATCACAAAATTTTTAGTTTGTAAATTTTTAAACGTGCCCGCTCAAGCATAAGCAATCAATATACATAATTTGCAAAGAGACTCCTTATCATCGTTGCGGCGTCAAGCTAAAAGCATGTTATCATGAAAAGGCCTATTGTCTTAAGAAATCATACAATACACTAAAAACTAACCTAATACCCTTAACGAGATGTATTTATTCAAGCGCGTGTAAACTCTTTCATCAGAAAGTGTCCATTTCCTCCTCAATAAATTTGCGAATCTCTTTAAATGCTTGTTATTTACGCACCTGTTTAACTAAAATCGCGTCGCACATGAATGGTAGCATCAAAAATGTTACGAAAGTCGTAGGTGAAGGCAACAACAAAGTTTATCTATCAACTACCGGTTCCGTCGTGACCAAAACCTAACTTTCAGATGCGTGATTACCATGCAGGCGTTTCTAATACCAGGGATAACTAAGTGAACATAGAGATACCATCAATATAAAGTAGTAATATCTCAGGGACTTTTGGGTTTCTGTTACCCATAATGTAGTAGCACTGTTAATTAGCAGCCATTTATTTGCTTGCTCTTTCATTGTCATTATTCATTTGTATGGGCGAAAATTCTGTCAAACTGTTACATTAGATAAAACGCTTAAAAAGCGAAAGTATATGCATTGTAATTTGTACTTTTTTCTTATAGCGAGAGTGTATGACCATTCAGTCTAACTAACTTTTGATTCGAATAGCAAAATAAGGCGAAAGACACTTTCTAACATGTTTATTGTGTAATTTAAAATTCCTATGAAAAATGTGTCGAATTCCGGGAAATAGGAAAATAAACCGAAACACCCAAGTGTATAAGATTGAATGCGTACAAAATTTAGGACAATCGCCTTTTTTCGCGTTCTGTCGCTGCATTGTTAATTTAATGGCAGAAAAAGGAAAAATACTAATAAAATGAAAAAGTGCTTTGATTTGAGTGTTCCACAATTCAGATTGTTCTATATAAGCAAGAAAAAAAAATATTTTCTAAATGGTCTCAAGTTGCTAACGTATGCTTAAATTTCGTTGAGTTTTGCTAAAACTATTAGCTTTTTATTTATTTCATAATTACACGTATAATAAAAATGGATTTTTGGTAATATTCCTTAAAGAAAAAAAAATGTGAAAAGAAAGTAAAGTTTACGTACTTATTAATATAAGCTTTAAAATCTAATATGTATTAAATTCTTGATTATACGAGCCTATGCGATGTGACTGTGGAAAGAAAAGTGTAATGATGGTAAACTTAATTAGGAGATGTTTGGGAAGAAATAATAAAACAGCCACAGTCGTATTCGCCACTAACGTACTTTATCATTATCAGCCATCATCATGAAATATGAAATAGGAAATTTTTTTAAAAATTATAAATAAATTGTAGTGTACATAACGCACAGTTCACATTTAATATTATTATTATTAGTTTACTCAGAAAAATAAATTAAAAAACCAAAGCGTTAAAGCACTACCATCTAAGGCGATCGGCCTTATTAAAAACTCTACCGTACTTGAGATTCGAACCCACACACATACACACACATTTAAGTATATCTTATACATACAAATTAAAAATTTTGGAAATGATAAAAAAGCAAAATTTAATGGCATACTTCAAAGTGTCAAGAATCTGACATGCAAAATAAGTCATATAATTGAAGTAGCATCACCCATATTTAATTTAATGTAAGCAATTGTGACGTGAGGAAACAAGCAAGAAAGTTATTTTTGGCGTGGGTCTAATCTCACATACCCAACACTATGTTTTCCGTATTCTACTCTCCAAGTTCTTTTATACGATACATATCGCTAGTATTATTAAGAAGAAAATGGTCGCGGTGTCTACCATATTCATTTCAAAATCAACCCACTTTTAAGCAGATAATATACCTTCACTTAAACGAATAGCTTTAAGCATTCGGTCTTGTTTACCTTATGATAAATAAGCATAAAAAGTTAAAAAAGTTAAAAAAGCAAAATTTATACACTTGTAACTGTGTGCAGGCATGGTGGTTATTTTCCATTTTTGCACTTTATAATTTCTGAGTAACGAGCAAACATCCAAAAACTTTTGTTAAAAAAGGAGTTTCGTTCAGTTTACATTCCATTGCGCGCTTCCGCTCTGACCGATTTTCATTTGCATTTTCAATACCACTCCGCGTGCAGAAACTTCCAATATTTCTACTTTGAAGCCGTAATCTTCATTTTTACAATGTGGAGAGTACCAAAAACACATACATACAGACGGACAGCTATGGCTAATGCAACTAAAAATTTTACGCTGGTCAAGAACATATATACTTTTTATGGTCTCTGAAGCTTCCTTTTGGGTGTTATGCAATGTTTGGATACCTTATGGAAGACAAACAAAATGGTGGGTAAAGTGGTGGGTATAATAAGAAACCAAAAATTTAGTATTCAATAAAGACATCTTCGTTTTACTTGACTATTCCAAGCAAATCAATCGCACTTGTTCATTTTAGTTAGTGACTATTGCGGTCAACTGGTGTTGCAATCACGCACAATCGTGTGCACAAGGAGACCATAGATAAGTCAGGGTATAGAATGGCGCATATGGTCAGCACATGTTTTAATTAAGTTTCGTAAGCCGTTTCTCTCCAAAAAGGTTTCTTTGCGCATGTATTTCTTGAGTACAAGCGTTTGTCAAGTGTTTGTTGGATAAAGAAGGAATCCCTTTTCCAGGTTATTTCCGAGTTACCTAGTTTTACAATCGCACGTTCATTGATACGTCACAACCTTCGACCTTCCGACCTTTTGGCTAAAATAATATTAATCCGTTACACCGAAGTATCCAACTTTGACTGGATGATTAAATTATGTTACTGCTATATATAAAATGGCATTCTACGTGGGACCCATTTCATTGGAATTGCATATTCTTCTCTGTTATGTTTCCAACTGGTAATATCAAACTTTTGAGTTTATGCCTTATAAATAAAATCGTGATCTTCGTATGAACGATTTTTGGATTCATCTATACAAAAATGTGTTGTTTTTTCTTCATTTATTCATTTTTTTTTGTTTTGTTTGGATATAGATAGACCCGTGAATTTAATATTGTCATTGTTACACCACTTCTTTTCTCAGCCTATCCTCTCCTTTTTGTTTCGTGCATTCGGTTCTTATTAACTTGAAAAACTTTCTTTTGCATCGATTTCCCTATTTTTTTCATCTTAAGCAATAAGGAATGCGGGTTCTCGTTATCACTTTGGACTTAATTACCAGAAAAAGGCAATCAGGCTTCGTTGTGTTAGCGCCCTTATAGTTAATTTACCGTTTCTTACGTGGGCTGCGCGACTAGTTGCTTACTATTCCGAACAGCGTTGGCAATCGTTAGCCCATCATTCGTAGTGAGAACTGGTAAAGTAACCCTGTTCTAGTTACCGGCAGTGTTCACATTTAACTCACTTAATAACTTATGGTACCTGACTGACTAGATTATTGTGTGTGCTTAATTATTGCATTAAAAGATAGAAACGTGTTGAACGCTAAAGCAGCAATGGTTAACTTGCGGCAGATCATATATTACATTGCTAATATTGTTTTGATTGATTTTTTTCATACTTTGGGGGTAATTACTTAAGAAAAATTTAATTTTCGCTTCTGTTTTATTTGCTTTTGCTAGACAGCTGAATACGAAAGAGAAAGCTAACCCACAACCCCATATCACCTCGCTGCTTTGTGACTTGTATACAAAAGGGTATATAAGTACAATATTTGCAGAGGCACGTTTAGTCGAGAAGACCCACTCATGAGAATTGAATTATAATATTCGAACGGATAAAGCCAGAGCGAGAATTAAAGCCTCGTATTTCGATTTCCTAACGATGGTAAATAAAACCTATGCTATCCTAAAAACCACAATTCAGCGGTAGGAACTTAATTTTCAAAAGAGTTCAATAAGAAAAGTAAAGTCACAAGTCAAGTTTACGTTACAATATGAGTTATAAACAATCTGCGTAAACCAGACCTAGAATAAATCCATTAGATGCATTAGCTGCTACCATCACGTTTGACCTGTCTTGTCCAGTTTATTTGCATTTGTTCACTTTTTGAGGAAAACGTAAAGAAAAACTGCGAAACTAAGTTTTCGTTAATTTATTTTATTGAGATTGCTTATATTTCCGTTTTTGTGGTTGTTTAGCTTTTAATAATCCGATTTAATCACAAATACTTCGGCGTTGCTATTAAATTGTAACATTTTTTACTATTTAAATACCTTTGATTAATTTTATATTGTCTGATATCTAAAGATTTCTCTCTCCCTTTTTTGATTTCGCATAAACTATGTGCAAATGTGTAGTAGGTTCTCTTACAAATTTGTTATTTTAAAAATTTATTTATATAAAGCCCACACAGTAACAGAAAACCGTTCAAACATAGCCTTGCGCATTCCCTTGCCATTGCACAAAAAGAAAAAGGGGCCAATATGGAAAGAAGGAGAGAAAAAATAGCTAGCTGTGTTACAAAGATTAGTTAATAAAATTGACACTAAACAAGATAAATTTAAACTAAATTAGTGTTAAGTCAGAATCGTTGTATTTTTCGGCACGTGTACAAAATTAGGGCAGTTATATTCTAAAAATTTTTAGTTATTCTTTAGAAATTTGAAGATATTTTAGGTATTAATGTGTTGTATACGCGTTAATACCGCTTTAAATTGAATAGCAACAGAAAGAAGAACTAAAGATCTTAAAACGATATGTATACGATTTATAATTAGTAAAAATTTCATATGTTAAACAATTATAATATAAATCGACGAATGATGTCAATAACGAATCTTTTTAAACTGCAGTTATTTATAATTTTAATAGCTTCCAAGAGCTTGCACTCGTTCTACATCGATTATTTAAGCTTCAATCGTTGGAACACGGACGTAATATTCGACATTTTGGTTGAAAATAGTTGTAATTTTTGGCAAAATCTCACGTATTTATTTTATCTGTTCAATTCATATTTATATATGCTTTCAACTGGGACTGCCCAATGTTATCTCTATCGTTAGAATGTCTAATAACATTGTGGGCGTTAATAATATTGTTGTTCTCTTCTTCTCAGCGCAATCGACATGCAACGATGGCGAGGTAAACATGATACATTATAATTTTATCGTTTAATATACAACTGTAACAACTTATGCAAAGCTTTGTTGGTTTCTTTTAATACATTTTGAAGCAAGTTGTTAGAAAGAAACGAAGTATTCGATAAATGGCTATTTTTGTGAACATTATTGATAATTCATATATGGAATATGCATATAACATTAAACATGTTTGTGTGCCTTTGGTTTTTATGCGATATATTTTTGTGCGATTTGTTGGCTTATTTAGTTCGTCTGGTAGATTGAAAACACGCAGAATTTTGCCAAAGCCATATTCAAACGTGTATTTGAATTCAAAAAATTATTTTTTATGCTCGTCATGAAAATATGAGACTTTCTACAGATATCCTATAAAATCCACGTCAGCAGAAAATTTCTGGAGAGACTGACGTCTCTTGTCAGACTGCTCGCACTCACAAATGTTGATATAGAAAGTTTGAAAATGGCATATATATGCTTGTGTGATATTCGTAGATAAGGGATGCTTGATTTGTGCACAGTCAGAATAAGCAGCAAGCTATTTTTACTTACTATCCCTAGCTGATATCGGTTGAAGCACGGAAGTGAGAGAGCTTTAAGTGTAATTTCGGGAGAAAAGTCGTTGCAATTCGGTTACAGAGGCATTTATAACCGGAAAAGTAACTGTACTTTCTGGCTCTTGAGAGATAATCAACTAAAGCTTTCCGTCTTCCTTCTTTTAATGCTTCCGCGGAGTCGTCGAAACGGTAATATTATGGTCAATCCACACACAAATCTGCTACTAATGAGATATTTGTTTATATTATGTGTTTATTCCTTTGCCCCCCTGGTAGTTTCAATAGGTTAAAAATAGCAATAGAAACCAGCAACTTTTGACACATGTTTTGGTTTAATCGCCAATCAAGGATGAAGATCGTTTAATATCATCTCGGAACTGAATATAAAATTTTAAAAACTTGTCTTCTACATCTTGCAGACAACGGATAACGATTTAAAATTTTGCATGAAGACGAACAAAAATTCCAATACAATTTTACATACAAAAATTTAGAAAAGCGTATGATTTTCAAATAATTTTTTTAGATACTCAAGATTGCCTTCAAGCCATATATATAGTTTTTTACATTCAGGTTGTGTACATATCTGTGTATAAGCGAAAAATATCGTAGGCTAGTTATTGATGAAGGATAATAATTTTATATTATCATTGCATTACTTTTAAAGTCTTCTTACTTGACGTTTGCAATGTCTAGACAAAGTCACTCCGAACTATTTTTGTGAAATTTAGCTTGTTGTTCTAATGGTTGGGGCTGTTGAGAGAGTATCTTTAGCGGTATTACAAAATTTGTTAGTCATTAATGCTAACACCTTTTCGAGTTTTGTATGGCGATCATTGACAGAAGCAGTAGCACCTTTGCTTCCCCATAGAAATTTTATATGGAACTCAGTTCTAAAATGAAGAAGTAGTATCAATATTTGAAATATTTTCATTTTCGAGAATTTATAGTTAATTCTTCTCACCGAAAGGCATCACTCAACAATTCATCCATTCTAGAAGAGGATTCCTCCAATATGATCTTCGAATTTTTACGATATAATTTTAAATTGTTAAGAAAACTCCGAGATGAATCTAAGTGTTGATAATTTATAAACATTCCAAAATCATCAGCTTTACTTTCCCACGATGTAATACACGTATTGTATAGGGATGATTTTTCTTTTGTGTTACTTAGATTAAGTATGTCCATAACAGATCTATCTTTTAATAACACATATAGAAGGACATGGGGCACAGTAGTATTCGGCGCCTGTGGATTGGAGCATTCGTTCATACTTATCAGGGTGGGACGTAATTTTGCTTCAAACATAAAAGCATCATTTGTATATTTTTGGCGTAGCAAGTGCCAGGCAGAATCCAGTTTTTGTATCTGGAAAATTAAAACAAATTTTATATCGATGGAAGACATTCCTGAGAATAAGGCCCAAACCTGCGGCATGCACACCCCCAACATGATGTTTGAAAAACCAAACAAATTACCCAAAGCTGTTTTAGTTTCTACAGCGATTTGAATCCATTTACTTAGTAGTTCTGCGCGATCATGATCGGTTTGACAAGTTAGTATAGTGACGGCTACCACTAGTTTTATGCACTGGGTACGTTCTATTAAATCATTACGAAATGTTTTACCTTGCGGTAATGTTAACATTTCCAAACCACAATAATTGGATATGTGACCATCAATGTTATGTTCAGTTTCTACATCAAAGGAAGGTTCTTCAATCAATAAGCCGATATCTATACGTGTTAAATGCTCTGCTAACATTTTCGGTCCAGTTTCTAGTAACATAATTTTAAAAGTGTTGAGGGCATCACCATCTAAAGGTTTATTTTCTACAGATGGTAGTAGAAGTGTGCTAAAGTTTTCCACATCAAATTTGGAGACCTACAAGAAACCTCGAACGTATAGCAAAAAAGCGTAAGCAGTTAGTTAAACGGAAACGAACCGCTTTAAATTCGGGAATTTCCAAAGTAAATAATTGTTCCTCAGCCGCAATCGCATCAAATTCGGTCAAACTTTTTAAAGTTATTGATGAAGCAGAATTGCTCATATAGCGTGGATTTTTTATCACTACACCGCGATGTACAATGAACTCATTTATGTCTCCAAGCATAGAATCTCCGGATCCATTACCCGAATCTGAACCACTAAGTTGATATATGCCTACTAGACCAGCTCTGTGTAAAGCGTATTGTTGTTCCAATGTTGCTTGTTCCTTTTCACGTCGTGGTAAACTGGCTACAGTAACGCTGTTACGATTTGGTTTAGGTGGTGGACTGGGAGGTTTTTCCGGCAGTTCTGGTATTTGATTAAATTCTAGTGTGGAAAACATACTATTTTGGCAATCCAGAGAGAAATCACGTCCCAAGCTTGTTTTACGATTCAGACTATTACGAAAAGCATTTGAAGTCGGACGTGGTAACGAATGGGTGGTAAATTTGGAATGATGATCAATTAGATCACCGGTGGCTGTACATCTGGCTATCGTTTGGAAACCGTTGGTGGGTATTTTTCCGTGTAAATGTAATTTCTCCAAATGAACGTGTAATCGACTTTCATTGGGTGAGCTGCAAATAGCATCGCCTCTGTCGCATTGACTAAACCGACGAGAATCAGCACGATATCCATTACCGTAGCTGACATTAATGTTAGTCAGCGAACCGCTTACTATGACCACGCCCCCGTGGTCAGTATTCCCTTGATTTTTAAAAACACCTTCGCTCTTGCCCATATCAACGTTCTTAATGTTTGATGCAGCTATAGCTTGAGCTGGGGTCAAGCTTTGAGAGCGTTGTTTTTTTGATGGCAAGCATGGCGCTGGATTTAATTTACCAGCTGGCGGTGATGACATGGAATTTTTTGCAGATTTGTCCATCGATTGGCCATTGCATATTTGCAGTGATTGCTGATGCTGCTCCAGTGGAGAACCTATTATTCCGGCAAAACGAAATCCCACATTATTACACAGAGGAGAACTAATTGGGCTAGGACCACGCAAACCCGCTAACATTTGTGTGTGCAGTTGATTGTCCATAATCTTGTGACCATAAAAAGATAATGGATATGTGCGATTACATGGGTATTGTATACGGGCCCCTGACGCTAAAGAAATTGGTTTACCTGCGAGTAGAGCAAAAACCGTTTGCCTAATAAAATTGATCAATATAAATAATTACGTGATAAATTTTTTACCAGAACCCACGTAGAATGTTATAAGATCGGGTATAGCGTCGAAGGCATCTTCCTCGAATTGATACTGCATTCTTTCGTAAACAGTCTCTGGTTGAACTAATATCTAGTAATAAATGAAACGAGAAGTTATTAATTTTATTGCACAGTGCTTGGAAATTAGGGCCCAATTGTCATTGTGATAATATTTTACAACCAAAAACTAGATGATTTTTCGGTACGTTCTTTGTATATTAATTTTTGCTGAATATTCACAAGTAAGACTTATTTTTATCTGTTTGGGCGCGTAAACAAGCGAAACTGACACATCTGGGGAAAATCTGGGGCAATTTCTTAAATGAGTCTGAGGATTGCAATCCCATTAGCAGGTGACGTTAGCATTACAACTCTAGAAAATTATCTAACTGAAATTTTATGCGAAGTTTATGTTAGGTGCTTGTGTGAAGTTTGATCAGAAACATCTATTGGAGAAAATGGTAGAGAGGAAATATCAATGTACACAACTGTTAAATTCAATGAGTTTGACCTTTTTCTACATAAACTAATATTTTTCTATTTACTATTATCGAGTTGTTCAGTGTGTACAGACGCTAATCATGGAAAGCTCAAAATTGCATTTTCGACATTAATTACTTCTCAATCTATCCATTTTGGAAACTTATGACGATGCTGCCCCATCATATCACAATTGTCGGTTTTGGTTTCAACAGTTTAAAAGTTACGATTTTGATGTCAACGACAAAGAACGGCTTGGACGTCAAAAAATTTCGAAGACAGTGAATTGTAAGACTTACTGAACGCTTGGAAAGCTCAAACTCTCAAGGACGCCTATTGGAGAGTTCAAGTTCTCAAGGACCTTTAAGGTAAATGAATGTCCCCATTTGGCCAGAAAGATGGAAAAAAATTTTAGAAAATGATAGCAAATATTCAACAAAAAATTATCAGAATATTTGCAAGGAACTATTAATATTCAGCACGATCAAGATTGGTAAGCATAGTATTACTTAATCGGGATTAATGCAAAATTAAGACAGCAGTATTGCCTGTTGTGTAAATGTAATGTTTTAATTGCCAGAGCTATCTCTTACTTTATTTTAGTTTGAAGACTCACCTTATTGATAACGAAATGCAAGACAGCCGTTTTCGTACGGCAAGTTAGTACATAGTTATCTGGTTGTGACGTACAATCTCGTATCAGGAAATCTCCCTCTCGTAATACAATTTCTTCAGCACGATGACGTGACAGAGGCCCATGATACCAGGCATGCGACCGTAAATCACGGGAATCCAAACCCAGTTCCCATTCTAAAGCTTTTTTTAAAGCCAATGCTTCTTGACGCTCACTTTTTGGTGGTAACACAGCTACAGGCTGATGAAAAGAGTCCGAATTTAAGGTATCGTTTTCCATGATATTGGAATAGGAGAAGGTGCAAGTGTTCGGTGAAAGAATTAAATTATCGACGATTAAATTTAGCGAGAAATGAGTTTAATGATTCTCACGAAGTTTCATTTAACTGAAAAGTATTAAAGGACACAATAAGCAGTGAGGCATAGTGCGAATAAATAAAAAATAATTAATAAAATAAATGATGAAGAAACAGATATAAAGACGCCCTCCACCCTTATGTATGGTGCGATAGCATTTTATATGTTCGTACTACTTTCGATATACATAAAAGTTTTCATGGAGATTGTTAATAATTTCATTTAGTCATATTTATTTCAGAGAACTTCATGTTGCTTTTATTTGAGTTCTTTATTTATTGAGGTTTTTCAAAATCTTTAAAGTTTGAAATACTTTGTATAGGAACTCACTTCTCACATTTTGTTGTTCGCTTTTAAGTTGCAAAAAGGTTTTAAGAATTTCGCCGGCCCTACCCAGAAAATATGTCGCAATGCTTATTCTTCTTTATTCGAAACTCTATACCGTTAATACGCGTCTAGAATTTCTACGCGAAGTACGTTCACGCCAACGTATATTTTCTGTCTAATTATTTGTTGTAGTAAATTTTGTGAATCTAGGAAAGTAAACTAATAAAGAGAGTAAAAAATGAGAGGTAGAAAAATATGTTCTCTTACACCCTTACTGCACTATATGTATATTCATGCATTATAATTTGTCTGATTGTAATTTTCCAACCACTCTATGTTTTGATTACGCCTCTGGGACATATTTTCTCACGCATGCTCAACTCATTTGAGATTATGTAGATTCCCCACTGTCCTCCATAATTTTCAAAACTATCCTACGCCGTGTGCAGCCTATATATACCGCGCTCCCAGGCTTTTCCAACTCGTATCGTCTTAACCATAAAAGATTTATAACAATTTAGTTCATCACTGATGTTTAAGTCATTTAACGTCATATACAAGAGCCTAGAGGCTTACGTTCATAATATTTATTAATATATATCTGAAAAAAATTTGATAAGTATAATTGGAACTTTCAGTTAAAGACCCGTTTCTGTCTGTTCGCCTGTCCGCCTTTTAGCGCAACTCAAAAAAGGTGAATTTTTTTCGGCAAATGAACCTAAAAGAGTGTAGCAATGTATGACCTTCAGCAGATATTAAGACTTTTTGAACATTGATGTACATCATGTAAACATTATATGCAAGAGTGGTTCTTTTAATAGAAGAAGTTGTTTTGCAAATTTATTTTATTATATTTCAACACCATATTCTTTTAATATTTTTTGGTAAAGTCCGAGAAAAAGGTATATAAACAACTGTTAGCTTTCAAATTGTTGGTCATGTGTAGTAATTTGGTGATTATGGTGTTAAGAAATAATACATTTAATACATTTTTTTTAACACAGCGCCTAAAAAAAGCATTAGAGACCCCACGTCATGCATGTAATCTTGACGAGCATCAAACTCTGGATCGATTTAAACATGCCCGGTCTTCGTCTGTGTGCGTCTGTGTAATGTCGGTTTTAAACATTCTCCTGGCTGCGAAATTGAAGCTATCGGTTTCAAATTTGACAGAAACGTTGGAAGTTGTTGCTCGCAGAGTTGGAATTACTTGAAAACGGCACCAATGGGTCGAAGGACAAGCCCACAGCGCAATGTAAATTAAGAATACCTCTGTTTTTCAAAAGGGATAAAAAGTTGGAACGCATATTCTGTGGGCGTTGCTGTAGCACTTGCACGAAAATATGAAAAATCGGCCGCTCCCATTCCATATTGTACAGCGTGAAAATTATGTTCTTTTATTTTTTTATCTGTTTTAGTATAACAGTGATGGGTATGAAAGATTCGATCACGACCATATATAGGTTCCTTACTTGCTTTCCTTTGAATAGATTTTTTGAAGCCAAGGCGACCACACGTTTGAGTTTAAGAAATTCGCGTAACCGGTAATAGGCTGTACTTAACGCACTTAATGTACATGCTGCTACTTTCGTCATAATATTGTAGGAAATCGTGGAATGTTTGGTAAAGTTTTGGATCGGAGTTTATCTTGCCATTTATTGTACACTTGTAGCATACTTAAAGGACGCTTAACGAAATGTGACTAGATAACATTGCCCTACAGAATTTTTATAATTTTGATGTGATCTAAGTGAAAGTGTAGTGCAATGAGTAAACTTACTTCGCCATCCAGTATCATTCAAAGCAAATTGGTTAGGAAACATTTTAATAATTAAAATAAATAATACGAATAATAAATGAGGAGTAATTAAGTATTTGACAAAACATCTAATTGATGATTATGTTAAATAATATGAATTATAAATTAATACTAATTAAGTTATTGACAAAATAACTAATTTAATTAATAATAACATTTAACTCACCTATTTAAAAACTCGCCGTTTAAAAATTCATGTTTTTTAATTAAATAAACCTTTTTTCAAAACTTTTTTTAATAAAGGAATTAAACAATTCACAACAACAATCTGTTCAAGATGTATTGCTAAATAAATATCACCACTGCGTTGCTAAGATTTTAAACCCTCATCACGGGTTACGGAACTACGATGCTTTTGCAAACGTGAAATTATCAAAGCAGGTATAGTAAGAAGAAGAAGAACAATTTGACGGTTTTCGTAATAATAAAACGGGAAGAAGGAGGCGAAAAAAGTTGAACATACACCATTCGAAGCTGATTTAAAGGCTCATCCATCGCCAGCTTTAACTATAACATTTTCGCTTTTTCAATGTCGATTTGATTGTAAGAAAGGGCTCAAATGATATGCATGCATATCTCAATCTCATAAACCGTTTGTATATATACGCCTTATCGTCGGTTATAGCATAGATTTTAATCAGGAAAAATGTTTGAACGAAACTCGAAGCAATTTTTACAGAAATATAACCACTCTGAACTTCTTTACTTATGAATTCTTTAAATACATTACATGTTCAACGATTAATTTCGTTACATTCCTAATTCGTTGCACTATGTTTTCAAAATTGTTAATTGCAGTTTTAATCCGATATTAATTTAATGCACTCGCTTCAGTTTTAATAATCTTGTAAAACGTGAAGGTCAAATTTATTCTTTTTCAAAAAAAAAAAAAAAAAAAATAAGGAATTCTTCCAAGCTTTTCCTCACAATTTTTTTTCTTTTTTCTTTTAAATTCAAAAAAAAAAAATTGGCTAATGACTGCAGTCTCAAATCAGCACTTCCCTCGATTGACAAAAAGAGATTTCCTTTTTTCTTTAAAATAAGGAAAAAAACAATTGGCTACTCATTTTCCTCCATACTTAGCCTACAAGCGGTTTATTGTTATAACTAATTTTTTTTTTGTACAAAACACCACTAGTTATGGCTAATCGCTAAAAAGAAATGCCTTCCAAGAGTTTCCTTTCTATTTTATATAGTCGAGTAAGCCAATAGGACTTATATTGTAGAAGTTTGTTATTGCAACAGAAAAGCATCGAACAATGCCGACCTGATGTTATACTACGATATGGTTGGATTGTTAGTAAAAGCGGAAAAGAAGCTATAATTATAACTTACAAACCAATTTAAAGCAAGTAAGAACATTGCGTTTGGGCCATCAGGTACTCTACACAACTTCGCTCTACACTTTGCCGCTTTATTGTATGTATAAATATATTACGTTACGTTAGCTCATTGGCGGTAGAAGCACTGAAAAGATAAGAAGTGGTTTTTTTGATATAATTAATTTGTAAATTTAATTTTCAGATAAAGAAACCTACTAAAGCCAGATAGCTCTTCTCCCTTCATCATTATTAACGCCTTTCGTCACAGATTTTTGATTTGTTAGGAGTGTTCTTATCACCTATCGTTATGCTCACTTAAGTTGCTGCCGCAGCAACGTCTTTTATTATCCTTTTGCTGTGTCTTCGTTAACTTTTTCCATCTTCGTTAGGAAGATGAACAGAAAAATGATGTCGTCAGGTAAAAAACGTGATGAATTAAATGTCAATGAAGTGGAAAAATCTAAAATTGGAATACTAAAGAATAAAGGATAAAGTAAAAAAGCCTCATTAGGTTTTACGTTTGCAAACAAGCAACGAAGTTTGGCAACTCTGCACCCGCGCTGTTGTCATACTGCTTTACTTCGTATGTAAAAATTTTGCAATTTATTTTTTATTATAATGCTTTGTTGCTTTATACGCTTTTAAAGCCTAATTAATTATAAAAGTGTTAAAATTTATTCAATTATATTGAACTTTTTGTTTCGATATTCATTTTGGTTTTTGCGATAAGCATTTGTTTTCATCAAAAAATTTCTTTCTTGTTTTTTGCGTGTTGTTACTTCCAAACGTCTACCATGATTGACGGCGTTTACAGTTTTCCCTCGGTTTGCTCTTGTTTTAAATAGTGTTAAGTATGCGTTTAATTTAAAATATCGTTTTTGAATACGTAATAAACTTTTTTTTTTCTTTTTTCACAAACTCTATTTTGTTTGTTGCTTTCTGTTAGTGTTCTGGGGTGTTTATATACATCACGTCGTATTAAAACAGGCCGATTCATTACTTGTTGACTTTGCGAGCGTTTTGTCATGCGAAGTGCGAAGGTATCAGTGGCGGTACTACAGATGCACTCCTAGATCCTTTCAAAAGATTGCGATAATCATGTTCCGACTGTAGGAAGCGAGATGTTGATCTTTACAGGCTTTTCACGGAAACATAGAATGGGTTTTCTGAATTAAGTAAAAATCTTGTGACATTCTGTGAAAAGTTTGAATAAATCAAAAAAATGTTGGATGAGTGTCGCTATCTAAAGCACTCACCTTCTCCCGCGGCATGTAAGAGATCAACTCGTAGTGTAGGGTGCAGTATTTCGCCTCCGTCTGCACCTAAATCTCATTCGTCAATTCATTAGAGCTTTCCATTTTTGCCTACGAAGAATGTTAGCGTTGTGTTGTTAACCTAACCCTTGTAAGCCTTTCTCGTTTCAGCTGTGCTGAAGTGGCAAGTGTATCTCTTCACGGTGGTGTTGCTCAAGCTACTCTGTGTATATCTCCAAAGCATATTAATAAAAATAACAAATCCGCCCCTCACCTTGGTTGTTCTGATGTGTCCGCTAGTCAACATGCTTGGCACTTCGCACATACAAGTGATATCCTTCCCCCTTTTTTCTCACAAATTCAAAATTCTCTATCTGTGAATCCTATCGTTCCTAGTATGAATTATGTCTTCTTGACGGCTCAAATCACTTAGAGTTATAGCGATAATTTCGGTTGTATGGTCCGCACTTCAACGATACAACTTCAACATCTGATAGCGCTGTTGCGTTTTTCAATGAATACTTTGATTGTAGTTTATTTCAACACAACCGTGCAGTGTAATGTCAGATTGCTAGATCTTTGCTTTGCCAAATTCCCGGAGATAGTTGCAAATCGCTGATCACCGTTTAGTTTACCTGAGGACCCATATCCTCGATTTTTTCGTTTTATAGTATGTTAAACCTAGCTATTTCTGCATCCGTTCCGATCA